TCTCAGAGTGGATCAACCAGTTTGCTGCTGACAACCAAAACCAGCTGATCACATGCTCAAGAAGGACCATCAGCCTAACAATGGGTCATTAGCACACTGATGGCTGTTTACTACTCACAGAGGGCTGAGTGATACTAGCAATCACAGCATTGTAAGAGGGGGACAGATGAACCTGGAGGCCTCCACCCCTGTTTAATGATGGACAATTTCTTTTCACAAAGATGGCCTCCTTTACTCTTCTCTCAAACCATCGTTCCTCTCTGTCCAGGATGTGAACATCTTCATCCTTGAAAGAGTGACCGCTGGCCTGGAGATGAGTGTAGACTGCAGAATCCTGGCCTGATGATGTTGATCTTCTGTGCTGGGCCATCCTTTTGGCCATTGGCTGTTTAGTTTCCCCGATGTAATGAATGTCCAGAGGACCAGATTGAACTTTTTTGGATATATTTTATATAGTTTGAGGCTAAACGTGGTGCAGTTTTATAAATCAGGTTTAAACCATAATTGCTCAAACTTATAAGAAAACAAGGTGTTTGAATGCCCCTGAGTTCAGAAAACCTAATGAAGTTTTATTTTGCTGTATTTAGACAGATTTTGATACGTCCTGGAGTGCGTGGGACCTGGTGTACGCAACCTTTTATTATTTTTTTTGGTGCTGCACAACATTCAAGCATGAAGCCCCAGAAGTCTTGGGCAGGTCAGGAGCAGTGAGTGCTGGAGCAAAACATTTAATTTCATGGGAACATTTAATTTGTTCAACTATACGGACCATTTGGGTGCTTTTAAAACTCCATGACACTCCAAAGTAAAAGGAACATGCTTGTGTAAACTGACCTTTTTGGTCTTGTTTTTACTAAATGGATCACAGTTTTTCTCACCCAACGTTTGAGCATTTAAAAATCTAAACCTCTGGGTTTTTCTTTCTGCCCTTTGCTTTTTTACTCACTGAGAAAAGGTTAATATTGTGAATTTTCACAGATGGAGAACAGATTTTTCTGCTTTTTTGGCACATTTTACTTACTCAAACACAAGTGCATCATACTGTGTTAACATGTGTTCACTGCCATTGGTTTGTACATAAGGTTTGGGTTTTTTTTTGTTTCTGAGAGCAGTTCTTTCCTCGATTTTATCCTCGAATGGTGTTCCTATTGAGTTTGTCGATTCCTACAAATATTTGGGTATCTTGGTCTATTCGCGTCTCTTTTAAGCTCCACGTGGAAAACTTGGTAAAGAAACTGAAAGTTAAACTGGTTTTCTTTTTCAGAAATAGATCCTGTCTAACTCTGAATGCTAGGAAACACCTTGTAGCCTTGTATATAATTTCCCTCTGGGATTAATAAAGTATTTTTGAATTGAATTGAATTGTAACTGTGACTTTCCTTCCCTCCATTAATTACGGTGACATTATTTACATGAACGCTCCTACAAACACCCTGCAGATGTTGGATGCTGTCTATCATGGTGCACTAAGATTCATAACTGGCTGTAACTATCGTCCCCACCACTGCACCGTGTATTCACTGTAACTGTTCATCATTAATTTCATGCAGACTCCCCCACTGGTACATTTTCATCTTTAAATCACTTCTTGGTCTGCTGCCTTCATACATCTCCTTCTACATGTCTCTGTGTGAGTGCAGCTACAGCGTGCGCTCTCAGGACATTATTACCTGCAGTGTTCCCTCATTGCGGACTGAACTAGGCAAAATGGCCTTCTCCTACTTCGCTCCTGTTTCCTGGAATATCTTGCAAAAATATCTGAAGCTCTCAACCATGACCTCTCTTAAGTGGCTTCAAACATCTGCTAAGTTCATGACAAAAACCAATGCATGCAAACTTTTTGTTAATTCAGGTCTTTCTTATAAATGAGTCCCCGAGGCTCGATGGGATTAATCTGTATAAATAAAGGTTGAATGAAAATGGCTGAACCTTTACTAGTTTGATGTGTAAGAATGACTGCAGCTGACTGCTTTGTCCTTCTTTTTACAGAGATTGTCAGAACTTCTGAAAAGCAAAAAGCCTGAAGATCTTCAAGAGGCGAATCGTCTCATTAAGAACATGGTGAAGGAAGTGCGTCACATTAAGCTGCTTTCTTTCAGATAAATTTGAAACACATATCGAGTTTTAACCTTGCTGTTGGCTTTGAGTTTATTTATTGTTGTCTTTGTTAATTTTACAGGATGAGGTCAGATCACAAAGAGCAGTGAAACAAAAAAGCACTCTGGAGGCAGTCAACAACAGCGTGAAAGTCCTTAATGAGATGCTCGCTCACTTCAGTCCAGAGCGCTCCTCTGAAGGAGACAAGGAGCTTATTAAGGTTTGTTCTGTTTGACAAGACTTGAATGTGCTTTTTGAATACAATCACTATTTATGGCAATAATTAATCTTTCTAAAGCAGGGGTTCTCAAACTTTTTGGGTTCAGGGACCCCTTACAGGGAGAAAACATTTCAGGGACCCCCTCATGTTTATTAAACAATTTTCTTCAATTTGTCTCTTTAATGCAATGGAAATATTTGTTTAACATATATACTTGAGGCCTGTTCTTTAATAGTGTTAATACATTTTTATAGCAAGATGCTATAGAAGAGTTTTGTTCCTTAAAGTAAAGCAATTACAGATTTTTTTTACACCAGAGTCAGAACATCTGTAGAAGACGATGACTGTCAATTATGTGCATTATGACTGTCAGGGGAAATTAGGTAAAGGCCATGGATGTTTATCACTAAATAATGTTCAATTAATGTGTGTGAGGTCAGAGAGTCTTTGGCCTGCTCAGAGAGGAGCCTGCAGGAGCACCTGATAACTCTCGAGGCCTTTTCCTCATCTATAAGCGGGAAAGCCGAGGTCATTTGACCTCACCTCTGTATGATAAGCATATATTATAAAACACTTCCTGCCTCACTGACCGGTGCAGATTCTCACTGACGAGGCTCTAAGCTTGTAACTTTGTACATCTGTGAAAGCTTTATCGTGACCATTGCAACTAAAGACCAGTTAAAAAATCTTGCGTCCTCAATGTGGCTTATTGGAGTAAATGGAGATGATGAAGGGATATTTATTTATCCAACAGTGACCAGGTACACAAACAAAATACAAAGTCTTATCACACAAAATGAAAATATTGCAAATTAAATCTGTTGTTCAAAGTTGTGATTTTGGTGAAAGTCCCCTTTGCCAGGCTGAAACTAAACTCACATTCTGACCTTTCAAGTCTTGTTTTTCTGGTTTTGTTTTCAGGAGTTGTACAGCGACTGTGACAAGCTTAGGCAAACAGTATTTAAGCTAGCTACTGAAACTGAGGACGACGACAGCAGCTTGGGTAAGACAACCTGTCTTTTTTTTTTTTTTTTTTACTGGTTTTGCTTGTTCTGACCAGACTCTCCTAAATTCTTTAAAAAATCAACTCAGTTTGTTTCCATCTTTTAATAATACTGACCTCTGTTCTAACTGGAAACATGCTTATATCAGGAGAGATCTTGCAGGCCAATGATGAGCTCTCTCACGTCATTAATTCCTATAAGACAATTGTAGAAGGACACAGCAACAGTGGAGACACTGAAGCAGCACAAGGAGTCCAAACATCCATCAAACAAGGTGAGGTTTGAATTAGTAGATGTTTTTAGGGGGGTAAATAGTCTGGATGTATAGCTTCGTTCTTCCAAATGCAAATGGATAGCCGTTTCATTGTACGCTTGCATTCCGCTTGTGCAAGTCACAGGCAGAGTTGCCATTTGATTTGTGAGTCACTGTTCAACCTACACATAATCACGGGTCACCTGTAAGGTTTTAACCCACCTGACCAACATTAGAAGGAAAATGTTTTAAGGCAGAAATAGCTGTGAAACCTCCTGGACTGAAGAATCAAAACCCATCCATCCATCCATCCATCCATCCATCCATCCATCCATCCATCCATCCATCCATCCATCCATCCATCCATCCATCCATCCATCCATCCATCCATCCATCCATCCAAAC